CCCCAAAACCCCAAAACCCCAAAACCCCAAAACCCCTTTATTTATCCCAAACTTGGAATATATAATAACTAAAAATGGATAGCCTACCTACAAATTCTTGCATTACTTTTCAAAAGTGACTCCAAGACAACCAAAAAGCTAAACACATTCAAAGCCAAATTAAAAGATCAGTACAGACCAAATTCGGCCTAGGTTCAGAAACTTGACTGACATTCGAAGCTGCAGACTTTGATAATAATGTTGGAATGATGAAATAGCTACATTAAGGGTAGCCAACCATTGCTCGAAAGCTATACAGATATCTTCGTGCTCTACCTTTAAGGAGGAGAAATAAACAGTATTTGAAAATAATTCAAGCAACAAGACCAGAGACATTAAATGAGTTCCATTTGGAATTTGATCGTCCTCAAGTGAGGTGGAGGATGAAGACAAGTCTTATGAGGCAATTTTAAACATCTATGCAGTTACATTGACTCACAAGCAATTTATCAATCTGCTCCTTTCAGGAAATCATTGAAAACAAATATGGTTTACAGAAACGACTATTTTACCAGGAAGAATTAACAAAACAATAAAAGGTAAATCATCGCTCAACAGGTTGATGTTCCATGATATTACAAGCTCTGATAAAAAAAAGGACGAAGACTCTAGTTCAAGCACCGGAAGCCTCAGTGGGGACTTTGACAAGATAGATTATGAAGACATCATTCATAAAACCCCATGTGAAGTCTAGTCTTGAAATTATACTTTACCAAACTTATCAAACATTAAAAGCAGAGGCAAATATTTAATGGCCAAGTTTCCTGAATAAACTGGGGTATGAGATTCTCTACAATAATTATCTGCTCGCTTCTGTTTGAAGCTTCACTCTCTGTCTTTTTACAAAATTTTAGCTGAATTGATTCCATTCGGCTCTGCCCACCTAAATAAGAGAGCTTTAACATCTCCTTTTTGCCTTGCTCTAAATCCTTGGGACTCCTTGAACTGACAAACTGTAATTGGACAGAGTCACAAACGTTAGAGGTGAAGCTAAAATATAGCTACAAAAATACTGAATTCATAGTAGAACTAGACAAAGGCTTGGTCATTATATAATTTTCAATTGACCATTTAAGAAGAGACAAGGCGACATGGGATGTGAGCGGGAACTTGGTGAGAATTAAGGGCACAATTGATTTGTTCAGTAGGCTTGTGGATAGAGCTTGGGTGGTTGTTGGGAAATTTTGAATTTTAAGAGATATTAAATTAATGATTTGGTATAAAATTTAGGTTTGTGATTGAGAGTTCTTTAAAGAGTGGAGAATTAGGAAGATATATGAAATCTGAATCCAAGCAACCTCAGCAAAATTAGAGGGAGCACTGCAAAGATTTGATAAAGGTGCGTATTAGCTTGTTTAGCACAACAATTCAAAACCTCAAAACCTTTGGCCCATAGCACTTGTGTCCAATCCTCTCCATTCCACGTGCCCCTCCAAGCCCAAAACCCTTAACTTAACTCTACTACTGCTTGTGCCTGGGAGAGCCTCTCAGTACATAACAAGTAACAGTAAAAACCAGAACACAATGAATAAGGAGCTTGGGCAAGAGTAATGGTTGCAGCTTGGCTACTTGACTGCACAGCTGGGTATTTTAAATGAACAAGTGAGATTCAAGGAGGGAATAAAGTGTCGGGGTTTTGGGGTTTTGGGGTTTTGGGGTTTTGGGGTTTTGGGG